GTCCGTGTTGTAGGAGCAAGCCCCCTGGTTGGAGGTAGTGGCTACGACAACCGGGATCCGCGCGTTGGCAAGCTGCTCGAGCGTACGGGCATGGAGTATCTTGTCGTGCGGCGTTATCAAAACCCCATTGCCAGGTCGATAGCGAGGCTCTCGCGCCTCCCTGGCGCGGACAAGAACCAGCGCATACCTCCCAGGCAGAGTGGGAGCAATGGGGCAGCACTCGCGAAGACGCCTACCAGCCGTGTCGGCCCAAGTCAAAGTTTCGGGGACGGCGCAAAATCAAGACCTGCGACGCCGCGGCGGTCAACATCGATAAGGACGAATGGGGCCAACTCCAGCTTCGAGGCTGAGGAGGAACGGCTTCAGGATCGGATAAGTGGATCTAACTATGTTAATGGGGATGATGACGGCGTTGCCGCACTTCTGCGGAATCTTTGGGATAAGAACCTGGATCTCAGCGCGAGTCAAGACTGAACTGAATTGCATCTGTTTGGGAGGCATCCCATGCCAATGATATAAATATGCTACGTCCCCGGGGTCGACTGGGAGGGAAGTCGAGGGGTTTCACAACTATATCAACTATACAGCGTAATAATGACAGTAAAATATAATCCACGATTGCTTTCGAGAAGGCGGTTCTTTGCGCGATGATCGCGCTTCCACCTTCGCGTCTTCGATCGATTCAACCCCATATTAGGAGCCCTTGGGCTTCATGTACCTTCGTGCTTGCTAGTGGTCTAACGTGAATCCGGTCTATGAATTACTAGCTGTCCAACTTGCAAACGGTGTTCTCCTATTAGCCTCTACAGTGAGAAAAAAAGACAACAAATAATATGCTTCATACGATCTGAAGAGGTACTGCTCAGCTAATTTCGATAGCCTCAAGGACCTAGCAGCGTTAAAGAACCTATGACCAAACCCACTTTTCAACAAGCAGATACGTCACGATCTTGGAACCTAGGTAGGTACATGTAGGTACAGAGGACTCCGAGTCACGCACCCGGAAGTAGTACTGGTTAGTAGGGGATCGGGAGCGTCGAGGCTACGTCGCCGATACCGAGACCGATACCGATGAGTAAGGGATCAGAAACTCTGCCACTATCGGCGGCATGGCACGCGAGGCATCGCCAGCCACACGGATATACATACGTGCCGAAGCGCCATCCTCCTTACGCAGGGCTGACCGACTTACCAACCAACCAACCAGCGTCAGGCGCGAAACCGTGTATCTCTGATTCGATGGAGGGTTTCAATGGGCCTCCATTTCTTCCCTTTCCTTCTCCTTCCTTCCCCCCTTCCCTCTCTCGAACCGAGCCGAACCCCCGTTGTACTACTAGACAAAACACTGACATAGGTAGGTAGGTTAGTGGGCCGCAGTAGTAACACGATCGCGCTTTCTGTCTGTCTGTCCTCCGGTGTGGCCTTTGAGAAAGGAACCGAAGCGGTGGCGAAGGGTAGGTAGTAAATATTGTAGCGGGAAATATCGGGTTTGGGCGTTATTTTTTTTACTTGTGTTGACTTGATAGGTAGACACATCGACTTAGGAAGGGATATATGTAAGTAGTTCTACAGATAGGTATGCGGAATAAGCTAGTTAGTCATCGGTATTCTCACTTACTGAACAACTTGAGAAATCGTTCGTGGTGGGATTTGTTGTCTCTCACCTGTGCCAGGCGTAAGGCCTGCTTGCTCTGACGGCTAGGATATCGTAGAAGCTGGTTTTCAGACTGTAAGATTAGTCGGGTGGTTTATGTTATTTTCTTACAAGATAACCATTCCATGTGAATTGCCTGGCTAAATGGCAACTAGATACTACAGCTTTTCAACTGTGAGTATCGATGACATGTATAGCTATTAGTTAGGCCAGTTGAGTTGTAAAGTCAGATAGGTTCGACACACTCAGCGCTATACGGTTTTTTCGCCCGATGGCTCAACTCTCGTATTACCCAGACACATGAAAGTTACCAAATATTGCACGAGGCATTGCCTGACATTAATTCGTATAACCCGAGGCTCGTGGAAACCTTTATTCTGGGCTGCCCGGAACAGACGATGTGCAATGTGACATTAGACAGGTGACTGAGTGCAAGTAACTCCCGCTGTTTTCTTCCACACGAAGTGTGTTACCGGAAGATCGAAGCAGAGACACTGAGAGAAGAGATAACGAAAACCGCTGAACTGCCTACCAACACATGAACGCAAGCCTATTCCAGGTACAATATCGACTTATCCGCCCATCAAACCGGCGCTGAATCCGACATCACTGAACTGCGGAACCACGACTGCCAGCAACGGCGCGTAAAGCCCCACACGCCCGCAGGCACACGATGACACCATCCCAGCTTCCATTCCAGCGCAAAGCCGATCCAGTACCACAGGCTTAGGAACAACGGCGCGACCGGCACAATCTTCTTGAACGCCAGACCCCACGGCGTGAGGTACAGGAACAGCATCCACAGAGCCTGGGTGGAGACGCCTGCTAGCTGTGGTGCGGTGTGCTCTGGGGCTGCCATGGCTAAAGGGTAGCTGAGAGTAAATATGGTCACGTTACCGGTGACAAAAACGCAAATGTTACCCAGAATGAGAAGGGCGAAAAGGTACCGGTCAGTGGACTCGATGCTGGATAAAGGTAGAAAACTCATCGCAAGAATGCTCATTGCGTGAGCAGCGGCAAATGTCACGACGGCGGTTTTGAGTATTTCGACGGCGGTGGGCGTGCTACACTTGGTGGCTGTTGGGTCTGCCGACGCCATTGCTTCTGTTTGGTGTTGGCTGGTCTTCGAAGTCATATTGCGTAAGTGAGTATTTGAAGCTTGGGTTTTGAGAGCTCTTTGGTTTTCTCTTGATGAAGACGTAACGAGCGTAGACAATACCTGTTGCAGATTTTGGATAAAGAAAATAAATTGATGAGCACTGATCTCAAAAATTTGGAATGTTGGCTGTTACATACTAACCGACCCCAGTTGTTCCTTGCAGAGGCTACTACCCTGAGAAGCGCATAGAAGTTGTGATGAAGGTAAGGAACCACGGCAAGTTGGGCTGGGCAGAAACTGCCATCATTGATCAACGCTCTTTCTGTCTAAAATATGGCTCGCGAGAAGGAAGGTCCACGTTGTTCTTACTTAGTCTCAAGGCGCTATTGCTAGTAAGGGGGACATGATGATGGACAAAATTGTGCTTTGATGACAGAGTTACTATGCAACAAAATTCCGGCAGGCTTATATTTCAAACTCTTATTACACAAAATAGACAACCACGATCCTGGAAGAGCATAGATTTCATCTCTGGGACAGCAAAATAGTCATTCCCCGGTAGCCGCATTATAGAAATAATGAAAGTTGTGGTATTTAAAATCTAGGGCCTATAGGACATAGTGGTCTGTTCAGATAATCAATTGCATACGGAGAACCTCTTGAACGTCGTTCCTATAGCTTACTGACAGCTGCTCTACATACCGAAACTATGACGGGCAAGTATCTAATTTACTTGTGGATTCTTATAATCTATTTACTTTTAGGAAATCTGCTTATATATTATTGAAACTTTTTCCAGACAAATAACCCTAGCCTAGCAAATGATGCTCAATGAGGGTTCAAGATGCGACGAAAAAGAGGGAAAGCGGACGGGGTATGTAAAAAAGGAGATGGAACCTAAGATGAGAGACCAGAATCTAATACGTCCTGGTGCTTTCACTTCGCTCATATGGGCTACGGAATTTTCTATTTGTCGAGCATTTCAAACTACGATAAGTCTACCGCCATATTAAATTAACTAAATACATTAACTAATTAATTTCATAATTATTCATTATCCTGGAGTTGCGGGAGACCAGTTAAGTAGAGACGAACAGGTCGTGCGTTAACGATCCCGCTCAGTACATCCTACTAAAGTGACTTGCATTCAGGAACTCCTTCGTCTCCGGAATCAACTCCTTAGTATTATTATCCTTGCAGGCGTTGATTTTCTTCTTCCTTGAAGGGCAGTCCCTTGCGGTGTGACCCTTTTCCTCATCCGACCGAATGCGGTGGTAGCTAGCTTTGCTTCGCCGATAGTAGTAAAGTGGTTGATATCACTGACATCTTGGTAGACGATTGACTGAAGGGTGACGTGTAGAGCAGTCTTTTACGCTGAGGTATAGTTTCTACTTGACATTCTTCACCCTTTCGGGAGGTACTAATAAAGCTATCGTGGCTTTTGCAACCAACTAGTTCTTAACTCGACTAACAGTACGCTCATCAATATTGTCCGTCATACGCATCCTTCGTGCCGTATAGTTCTCTTCGATTGCACTTACCTTCTCGATCGCGACCTCCAGGTATCGATCACCAAGTCCAGATGCCGCCTACTAAGATGACAACAAGCTCAATTCAGAACAAGTCTTCCCTTTAAGAGATTTTCCAATACTCTCCTACTTGAAAGGACGACCAAAACATCCGTTATCGAACAAACCAACAAGCAGGTACTACCATATGAGCAAAAACGGGGGTCAGCTTAGCTGTGTATATTACCTAGCTACTAACGGGGTATAGAAAACTAATAATAATTATAAAGCAAGTCATACACAAAGAGCACTGGATCTAAGTGCTCTAGCAATATCTACAATATCGTCTCAGTGCTCCTTTCAGCACCCTGCAGCACTCCTTTCAAGCACATGGCCTTCGACGTGACCTTTCAGGTGACCTCTGGCCTTCATCTGCCCACACAATACTGTAATCTAGTATAACTTTATAACTAGCCGTCGTATGTAAAATCTGATTTGATGTATGAATTAATACTAAGTTGTGGTAATACATAGAATAGCTTTAGGGGCAGATATGCTGCAGGCAGGGGGTCTCCTAATAGGATAACTACTGCTACATTTTGTCACAGCAAGCCTTGTGGGACACCGTACCAGCTGTCCTTGCTAGTCAAGCCATGTTACCTGCCCAAATTTCAACAGCCAATGCCCGGTTAGCTCAATGTACGTTTCTCCTGATTCGCTTAATTGGAATTAAACTAACCCCTCTCTAGCGGTAGAGCGTGAGACTCTTAATCTCAAGGTTGCGGGTTCGACCCCCGCATCGGGCTCAATTCCCGATGCGCCTGCTAAGCAGGTTACAGCGTCCCCTATAGTTTTTTTTCTTTTTCTTTTTTTTCTTTTTGTTTTTAAATATATTTACTTATTAATGAAATTTTAATTCTATAATAATGAAATGTTATATAATAATTATTACAGCATATATATAATACGCAGGGTTAGATAAGGTGGTTTATATATATACCTAAATAGTGTTATATAGTCCTAAGAGTCTAACGAGTAGCCATAAAGAGTTCCAGGGACTTCACCTAAGTTCGTAACACTCAAATGGAGTTGAGTGCAGCACAGATAATTATAATGCAGTAATAGTAAGGCTGTGGGGATACTGAATAGTATTAGTAAGTCAAAGTAAGTCAAATATAGATGATTCTCTCTCCTTCGGAGTGAGAAGAACCTAATTGAAGATATATAGTTAAATACACTTGGCCTGAGTCCCAATGACTGAGCGTTGCTTCGCAACAAGCGGCGTTGCGTTTGCGATAAAATACTTGACTATATAAGATAGAAATGAAAACTCTGGTGATGTCCTTAAGCCCATCGACATGATAGTCACTTTTCTCTATTAACACTCTCAGGTTATTAAAGCTCAACCAGAAAGTATATCATTAAGCTTTGTTTCATCTAAGTAAATTCGATGATAGAAGTGAAGTTGACCAATTCTCACGCCCCCCCCCCCCCCCTTTTTTCCTTAAGGATCCTCGACCTTGTCCAGCCAATACCTCCTTGAGAAGAGCCCCGACCAGAACCTCTCCATGAAGAACCCCTGCTCCGGGTTCGTGGCGTTGGCGATCTCGAACTCGCGCAGTGCGCGCAGCCACGCCTTCCTCGGCTGCGAACGGATCGTCTCGCGGCGCACGGCGAACGTGCCGCCGTGCATGGCGCGGATCGCGTTGGGGTGGTGCGGCGGCCCCCAGAAGCCGTCCCGCCTCGGGTAGCGGCCCCGGAGGATGATGTTCCAGAACCCGGCGGGCGTGTACGGGGCCGGCTGCATGGACGCCAGCTGGCTGGGGGTGATCCAGATGGCCTGCTTGGGGTCGGTCCAGTTGATCTTTTCCCAGTCGTCGACGTCGTGCCACAGGTCGTCGTTGAAGGGCGTCGCCTCGTCCCGCTCTACCGTCAGCGCGATCGACACCATGTCCGCCGAGGTGTTGGCCGCCGGCGCCACCAGGTCGAACGGGTCCGCCTGTGTGAAGATCATGATGTCGTCGAGCTTGTCGTAGTTGTGCACGATGTGCCAGAGGTGCGTGTGCCCCTCGCGCCCGATGTTCGGCAGCTCCTTGTACAGCCGGAACGAGTCGTGCGGCACCGAGTCGTTTTCGGCCGGTATGCCCCCCTTGCTGTACAGGTAGGTGTTCTTGGCGAAGTCGGCCCACGGATCCAATGGCTCTTTGTACCGTGCTGCCACGATACCAAGCTGACACGGCAACGGCGAGAATGGCCCCGGTGCGTGCAGCAGCGTTGGGGTGGGAAGCGCCGTAGTGGGAAGCGCCGTACTGATACTCATCTTGTCAGGAGAGAGTGTCTTGTGTAGCTAGGGCGATGATGGTGTTGAACGAGAGACAGACAGGGCCTTATCCAGGGAGATCGATGGTAGGAATTAATACAAGTAGGAAAGGAAAGAGAAATGAGAGAAGTGGAAAAATAGGAATCGTCAGCTAGCTGACATGACATATAGGTATATTTCCTTCGTCCGTGGACCTCTCACCATTCTTGGCATCCCTGGAGCCTGCACCGGGTGTTATTACCGAGATTCATCCACTCATACATAGGTGCGTTCTAACCGTATGCTGACATCGCCAGCATGCTTAGCGTCTCGATTGGAGGAGCTGCTGGCATCAGCGCCAAGACGCCTTACTGATTCTGGGGCTGCCATTTTTAAACATGGCATTACAAGCAGATTACTAAGAGACCATTTAGTATATAGGATAACTATGTGATCCTAGTACTTGAATATGGGATATCCAATTTATATTTTCGTTGGCCTAGGACTTATGTATATAGAAGGTATTAAGGCCTCTGCTAAAGTATAAGTCGTATCGCTTTATATCTATGTGAGGTTATGTATCTGGTAGGGTCACTTGTTGTCAGATACGTAGTACAGACTACAGGTCATTCTAGAGCTGCACAGTTAGGACTATATATGCTAAGGGTTACCTTGAAAAGAAAGGGGGGTTGCTGTTCTGTTTGTCAGGGACTAAATGTTCGGCTTAGAACAACCGGAAAGCAACACAGATGGTATCCTAGCTCACTTGTGAAAGATCTAGCATCTAAACCTCCCTATTCGATGAATTCTATCTCCAGCATGTGAATGTAGTAGTGTAAGCAATATTATGAGGAGTTATTGGGACCGTTTTCTCCATATTAATAGAATTTACTTCAATAGACAATTCCATTGGTGGTCATAATATGCAAGTTGTGAGCTTGCCGAGTCAGGGTCGAGATTGGAGATACCCGGCTTAGTTAAGTGCTGTTCGACTTTGAAGATCACTATAGAGCACTCTGAAAACTGTTACCTTTTTCAATCGAGACGGTGTCTAAGATCAGAGGTCTGAGTGTCCGTAGATATATCAGTGCATACAACAAGTCAAGCAATTCCTTAGCTTAATTTGACTCAAGGCTGGTTTTTATCCCCTAGGTAACTCAAATTAAGGTTGAAGGTGTGCCTTAACTTAATACATATTTAGGTTTTTTTGAGGTTATTAATATATCTATTAGGGACCTATTGTAATAATTTCCTTGCTTTTCTTAGCGGTCAAGCTGCATAGTTAACAATATAAACTACTTAACGCTTCGTGCTGCTACCCTTGCTAATGGCTGATCATTATCACGTCTGCAAACCCCTTCTATTAGCTTTTCCGTATTAGATTCCTCATTAATTAGAATTATTTCAGACTTAGCAGGAGGCTGCCAGGAGATTCAGCAATGGCAAAAGATTCAGGGGTAAATTCAGGGGGTTAGCAGATTCATGGGGTATTTTAATGCTCGGCTACCTAACCAAGTCAAGATGTGGATAGCTTTAAATCAAATCATAAAACGAATACCTTGAACTGATACATACGCTGGAATACATACAACTATTGAAATATTAGCATGATTATCTCAGCCCTTAGGTTTCTGCTTTTACATTTCTGCCTAGCCGGTAGTTGGACACTTGTACAAAACGCCGCGACCTTGATTGCTCCGAAAAACTTAGCAGCTAAGCTTATCTTCATCGGTTTATTGCAAAGGAAACCACTGGAAATGGCTGAACTTCGTTGGCCGGAATGCGACGCCGCTTGGTTGCCCGCAAGATCAGTACCTACAGACTCTACGGCGACACCCAGTGAATTGATATATTACTGCGAGACGGTCCTCTTCCTAAATCATTGGTCACTATCTATCGTTGCAATGTAGCAGATAAGGTTGGTATGGTGTTGAGGGAGAACGGTCCAATGCGAATTGGGTTGGAATTAATGGATGAGGCCGATATCAAGAGTGGCGCATCACTATCTGCTGATGATAGGCAAGAACATAATCTTATATTTGTTGGTGAGTAATAATCAAAATCATTTACTACTTATTCTGTCACTATCCATATGAAAGCACTCCCTAATAGGTGTGGTTATTTAAGAGTAAGGTCTCTTGAATGCCTCACAATACGTAGTAACAAGTCCAACTGTCTATAATAGAAGTCACTGGCCCCCAATGCTGTGGTCAAAATGGGGACGAGTGTGGATTACCAAGATAAGCAGGATCCTCGTTTCCTCTATAGCGATGCCTGCAGAGAGATTCTAGGTAAAGTGTAGGTTATTATCCATGGATTTGGCGGCATTCCAAGTTACTCAGACAACCACTGGCTACTTATAGACTCTGAAGAGGAATCTTAGTGATTGTATAATGATAGGTGGCTTTCTGATTAGTATAGATTAAATGTCTATGTCACTGATGACACGGTGGAGGAGCCACTCGAAGTGTTCCTCAAGCTTAGCGTCGATTGCGAATTCGATAATAAGAAAGCGCGAAGATCTTGTAGCCCATAACTATCTGTGCTGAGAAGTTCGATCTCATAGCGAGAAAGTTTAATATTTAAAGGACTAGTTGAATAACATCCAAACGCAGGTTGGAGAAGTGAGGGGGGAATATCCGGAATGAAGATCGGAAGTGAGGATAACTCTCTTTCACTTAGACGACCACTTATAATCTGTACGTCAAGTTTAATATCTTGATAATGTGCTACATTAATCATTGAAAGGGTTCCTTAGCCTGAGTATCTAAGTTGGGATGTCGGAAAACGCGGTTAGGTAAAGGTATGAGCAAACTAGGTCATTGACCACCTTGACCGAAGACTTATATAGAGGCATTTACTGCTCGACGATTACAAACTAATAGAACCAGGATTAAATATAACCGCCTTGGAACATGCTTAATGTAGAAAATACGACTTTGCAATTACGCGGCTATTTTAGATTTCCGGAAAGATCACAGAATCAACTGCTTGTATTATAAATTGTAAGCACGTGGACTTCATCAGATGACATCGCGTTAGACTGGTTGTAAACGTCTTCTTTAGTTGCGGACAAGTACGAGACCATCTTAAACTGGAGCTTAATAAAGCCGAATACTGGGAACCCTATCGCGTCGGGTTGCCCCTAGCATGATGGCTGTTAGGCTTCGGATATAAAGTACTGTCAGCAATGCCGACCGCCAATGTGATGATGAAAGAAGCAACTTCTCGTTGTTAAGGCGGTAAGCATGGACCTGAACCATCGGTAGATGTTCCTATAGGCTGATAATGCGGAAGCGCTTTGCTCTCCTGGCTGCCTGGACTAATCGACTGCTGGTGGCGTCGTTACACATATTAACCTCATGATCGTGTACAATTTCTTGTTTCGGTTTCCGAGGTGTGGCCTTGTTATTGTGGCTGAAGATTCCCTTTTCATTTCTTGGAGGTTATGATTTTCCTCGTGTTGTTTTTAAGGTCCGGTCGGAATGCACCGGGAGGTAGGTAATG